TCCTAAGACCTTTTTTGTAAAGGGAAATGAGAGCTGCAGAAAAGACTCCCCAAACATTACGCTATTTTTCCTGGATTCAAAGGTATTCCTTGAAAATGTATTTACGAGATGAAGCGACTTGTTGCCCTTCATGCGAATTTATTTTTAGAAGTTTTGAAGTTCGCAAAAAAAATACCACTGGATGTCTACACTACACCGCCCTATTTTCCAGACGATTACAGAATGTTACGTCAGATGGAAAGAAATTTCTCCCAGTGTAAGAATTTGGTAATTAGAATTCTTCCTCATTCTCAAACGGCAAGGAATTATTCAAGCTACTTCCATTCCCTGAATATTTCATCTCATTCACGCTTTCCCAATTATTTTGTCAATCATAAAATCGATTTATGGTAGTAAAAAAAATCGCATGAAAACAACTGCAATTAAACATGATGGGATTAAACGTTGCATCAGATAAAAAATTCACCTGCGAAAAAATTTTACGAGGAAAGCTTCCCTCACTATTTAATGAACAGTAATTTAATCTGATTTCACCCGTCCTACTCGGAAGACTTTAGCCATCGAGTTTTTCCATGATCATGCAACAAATGCTATGCAACTGCAGCATAAATTCATACCTGGACCCCGAGTATTTCTTCATCTTCTCCAACTTCTCAGTGATTTCTCTGCGTCTTATCGCCAATAATTGTGCCTCCTCCCGTTCCTTCTCAGCAGCACTACGTTGCAGTCCGACTGAAGCCAATTTAGCTGCATTTTGCTCACGTAGCATCAGTGCAATGATCTGTAAAGTTTTAAAACCATTTATTTATCTCCACGTGATATCGAATTGATTAAAAAATTTAAAAATCTGGGATTAAGAAGGATTTGTGCTTTTAAGATAGGGCCGACGGGAAGAATTTTATTCACGAAAAAATGTGGAAAAATCATGGGAATTTCATCATCAATTTTCATTATCATTACAGTAACTGAATGAAGAAAATGATTATTACCTCGAGTATTTGCATGTGATACTGCTGCTCGCTGCTGTTGCTGGCAATGAATAAAAGTAGATCGACAATTCCAGAAGAATGAAGTGCAAACAATAACTGAAATCAAATTAATGAATGGAATTAGCTATGCTGCTTCATTTTGTTGCCATTGATTCCCATTTATTTATTATTGATTAAGAAAATAAGCACCTCGTCGTGGATCGTTGCGTCGTTATCTGCTCGATTTTCGTTGTCATCTGGTGGCACTTGAATGACATTTCTGATCAACGTGAGGATTCTCTCAATGATTAATTCATTCTCTTCCCCTCTTTCCATGTGTTCCTGAGAATAAATCGATTTTGATGAGAATTCGTGAAATTCACCTGTTGTCTTTTAGTCCTGCAGTTTGAAATTATTTTTAAATACTCACAATTCTCAAAATAGTACTGAGACGATTGCTGACGATAACCCAGAACTGTTCATTAGCCAGGGCCTTCTTGTACCCCTGGAGATGGCCAACCAGCTGAAGGTAGACATTACGACTGGTTTTCTCGGTGGGCAGAATGTCATTGAAGAGCATCAGTGCTGGACTCGTCAGATTTATTATCAATCTGAGAGAATAAAATTTGTTGAGCAATTTCTCTTCCATATTTATCCCAAAATTAATTCTTCTACTAACTACAGTAATTAAAAAGCTGAATCCCACTCCCCATAAATCCACCAGGACATTTACCTCAGCAGAACATCCCAGAATTCCGTTTTCTTGGTGTGCTGAATGGCAATCTGAATTAAATCAGTCTGAAGGAGCTTTGAATGTCCCAAGTAATGACGAACAGTATGAGAATCATCATCTCTCTTCAAATATTTTATGAGATCTTTTATCACATCTGCAAAAGAGAAATAAATCATCAGCCCTGTCTCCTCGTCTTCGTGGCTGGGACATTATATTATCCGAAGAATATTAAAAACGAATATTGGAGAATGGATTAAGAATGAATTAATCGAGATGGATTTGTCACTCACCCTGGGCTCCAGCATCTAATCGGTATACGACTCCATCAGAATATCCAAGAGCTGCACAAGTTGCTGCTAGCTCCGCAGAAATGTAATCACTCATTGTTAATAATTACGATTCACTAATATTTATTGACGCAATAATTCATACTATGGTGAGAAATAAATTATTTCACTGACGAGTGGAAAAACGAGTGGCAATTGAGAATGAAACAATGTTTAAACAATTTGAGAGGTTAGAATGACCCACGTGTCGTGATTTACAGCTGTAATACCGTATAGTATTCACATTTTCACTGCACTTTTGGAACACAATACACTGATATGACCGGTGACAACTGTCAACTACTGATCAACGCACGAAGAACAATGGAAATATGAAATTTACCACCAGTTGTTTGACACTAGTTTCTGTCAAAGCAACAGGTAAACACTGAGCGCGGGAAACTCACGTCGATTTATCGTGCAGCGCCGGCTCGATTTTCATTGGTTGCCCACACTACGTCACCAGATGTTACAATTACAATAAAAAAATAACGAGCAATTACGATTGTCGGATCGTATAGTTATTATCAAATTTAATATTAAATTGATCATTTCGAAAAAACCATCTCGTGTTTATATTTCTCTCATGGCAGAAAATTTTGAAATTGACAGATTATTTTTTTTTATGAAGTAAATATTTCTAGGCAAAAGTAGTTTTTTTTTTCTGTCAATTCCGAGGGGGTGGAATAATCAATCGGATATAATTAATTTCGGGGAGTAATATTTCGGTATTTGTATAGTCTGTTATTTGTCCGTTATTGGAACCAAAGAATAAAAATCAGCGATCGGAAAATTCACACTGGATTCTTGTAGCTGTGATAAAAAAAATGAACTCGTTTATTCGTGTGCTTGCTGTTTCGGAGGCTTTCAGTTTTATTGAAGTGGATTTTATTTTTATTTGGGCTTGAAATTTCGGAAAAACCAATATTGCTGTGACGTTTTTTTGATTATTACGAGATATATATTGGAATGGGTTGAACAAACCAGTGGGGAATTTTACTGGTCGTTCGGTTGATATCGAAAATATTTTCTCCCATGAACAACG